GAAAGGCATTATATTACATCTCAAATCAAACACCAGGAAACTCTACAGGGTGTGTAGTAATATCCTTATCTTTTTAAGGAAGGAAATTGGGACTCAGAAGGTTGAAATAACTTGCCTGAGATCCACAGGCAACAGGAAGTGGTGACAGTTACTCTGTTCCCAAAACCCACGGCTGCAAGCTTGCCATCATCATGCACCCTCTCTGTGAATGAGAAGAAATTCTTCCACTGTTTGACTAGCTAGCATTTTCCTTCTCCCAGGAGACAACAAGAAACTGATTTGCTGGTGTTTCTGTCAGATTTTGCATTGTGCCTGTAAGGCTCATGAAAGGTGTGAAGCGGGAATCTGTTTTTAGTGTCGAACACAAAGGAGAAAACTGGTCTGGACCTTACGTTAATGCGATGATACATGTTTCTTCCTTTGGATCTTAACTATTATGCATTATTTTATGACTTTTAAAATCGCTTTATCTGAGGAACTTCTAAAAGGTCATAGAAAAATGGGATTGCTTTACGAACTATATGAAACCTGTTAAAAAAAACTAGTTAAAATTTAAAAATAAAAATGAAGTTGAAAGTGTGCGTTTGCTTTGGTGCAGTTTTTTTCTTCATAATATATGGAAAATGTGTATTATGAAAAAGCCGTGCATGGATTTCAAAAATTTTTTGCACCGAAGTAAACTTATGTTTTAATTCCATTTTCCAAATTTTTTTAAGTACCCACATTTATGCTCATTAGAGACTCCAACTCTGTATTTAGTTTAGTGAGTTCATTGTGACTTCCAGTGGTGTCTGCTTAAGAACTTTTGGTGGAGGGGTGGCGCTGCGGTGCAGCAAGTTAAGCTGCGGCTTGGGAACACCTGAATCCCACATCAGAGTGCTGGGACTGAGTGCCCTCTCTGCTTGTAATCCAGCTGCCTGTTAATGCAACTGGGAGGCAACAGAAGATGGTCCAATAACTAGGGCCTCCGCCACCCACATGGGAGACCCAGATGGAGTTCCTTGCTCCTGATTCAGTCTGGCCCACTCCTGGCTATTGTGAGCATTTGGGGAGTGGCCCAGTGGATGAAAGATTTCTCTCTGTGTGTCTCTTCTCTCTCTGTCATTCTACCTTGCAAATGAATACATGAATGAATCAATGAGTAAAACTTAAAAAAAATAATTCAAGCAATGAGGCTCTGCCATGCCCCTGCACGTGGGGTAATAGTCCAGTTCTCAATTCAGTTGGTCACTGCTGACTGACTTGTTTTCTGAAATGGAATTCTGGAAGGGGAGCAGTTCCCAGCTCGGGCCAGGGCTAGCAGCCTTCATACCCTTAGTCTGTCCTATTAACACCCTAATATCACTTCCTTCTTGATGTGTTTTTCTTCTTGATCATCAGGTGTTCAGCCAGACCTCTGGGTAATCCCCTCCTCCGCACCTGTCTTACGTGGCCCCTGCCTTTCCCACATCCTTCCTCCAGCCGCCCTGTGATCCCCTCCTGGCCTCCATGTGACTGGCTTCCCTCTGCCTTTGGAGAAAACCTAGATCCTTTTCTTTACCTCTTGCTTTCTTCCTTCCGGGGTATGTCTAAACTCTGTTTTGGTTAGTTAAAACAAAGCAAAGCAAAGATAAAGAAAAACAAGACACCAAGTCAGTACCAAGCTGGCAGAACATATCCAAGGGCTAAATTTGGGCCCTTGACCTTGGACCTCTGCTGACCCTAGGGCTTAGAGAGGCAGCCACAAGGATTTTCATGTTCAAAGAAGTGTGGATAACGTAGAAGGAATAAAGAGCAGAGTGAAGGTTGTGGTGACATAACACTGACTGTGAAAATGGGCATCACAGTGCTTTATTTTCCCCTCTACCAGTGTTCTTGGAAATGGGGAAACATAGAAACGTCTGCTTCCATGTATTTGGCAGCAGTAGAGCTTACTAAGTAATTTTGGGATTCTTGCAATCTGATTTTCATTTCATAATGAAGTTCATTTGCAGGAGCCCTGGAGTCACTTCTTGTGTGTCCAGAGATGATTGCATGCCAAGAGTCAGAAAGTCATTAAGGTAGTTTCAGGAAATTAGCCATCTCCTGGTGGCAGGAGTGGATGGTGTCTCCGGCTGGGTGACTCACTGCTCCCCCGGGCAGCCTGCCTTCCTGGGAACTGCAGTCAGTGGTCTTCTCCACGGGTTCCCTAAACAAGGCGAGTGCTGCTTTCAGAATTTCCACACCACACTCACCTTGTGCTCCAGACGCCCTCAAGGCAACCAGTCCAAGTGACCCATCACACAGTCACACTTCCAGCAAAGCAATGCCGAGGACTAACTCCAAACGGTCGTCACAGATAGTTCAGAAATATTGTTTTCTTTCTCCCTTACTCTGGATGTTATACAGGTAGCCCTAACTTCAGACAAAAGTTGTGCTCCAAAAGAACTGTATGTTAAAGGATTTCAATGTAGTTCTCTTTTTAGGCAAGGGATGCATCTATAATAAGAGTTATGGGGCTGGCACTGTGGCTTAGCTGGTTCAGCTGCTGCCAGCATCCCATATGGGTGCTGGTTTGGAGCCCGGTTGCTCCACTTCTATTCCAGCTCCCTGCTAATAGCCTGGGAAAAACAGTGGAAGACTGCACAAGTGTTTGGGCCCCTGTACCCATGGGAGAGACCTGGAAGAAGCTCCTTGCTTTGGCCTGGCCCAGCCCTGGTCATTGTGGCCCTCTGGGGAGTGAACCAGCGATGAACGACCTGTCTCTGTCTCTCCCTTTCTCTCTGTAGCTCTTTCAAATAAATAAATCTTAAAAAAAAAAAAAAGAAGAAGAAGAGTTACCCTGTATTATCTGTTTTGTAGACCCAGCATTGTCTGTTTCTTACCCCTGCAAATTTGCACAGAGGAGTTTGGTTAACAAATGCACTTTTTAAAGGACATTTTCAAAAGCACTAAATAAAATATAAGAATTTAGAATCATTGCAGTTATCAGATTTCTAGTATGCTTTCCATACAGGCCATACAATAATAAATATGGCTCTACTTCAAGATGAGCTACTATGCAAATATAAGTGAGTTGAAAATGATTAGAATCTCAGTTCTTTTATATAATCACTGTAGAAATATCAGCTCTAGGAAATGAAGATAAGAAAGATGGTATATTGTGTGTCTACTGTCTGCCAGGTACCAGAGTATTCTAATATCAAGTGTGCCACAGTGTAGGGTTTGAGCCTCCCCGCTCAAGGCTGAACCACCCAAGTTTGAATCTCAGCTTCTGCTGAGCAGATTCAGTGAGATGAGGTGTGCCAGGCATCTCGCCCTGTGCCTGTGCGATAGCAATCATCCACTAGATTGTAGCTGCTCTTTTCATCTTATTCCATTGAATCCCACCAAGTAGGCAGTGCCCCTCATTACACATGAAGGGATTGTCTCAGAGTGGCCCAGTAACTCGCATAAGTTTTCTGTGTTGCAGAGGCAAAATTTAAAGCCAGGCCTCAACTAGATACTCTGTTAAATCCTTTAACCAGAAGTTGTTTTTCTAGGCTGCCAGGAAAATCTGTGCTGGAAAAGACTGCCCTAGCTAGTCAGTACCCTCTATTGAGAGACAAAGCTGACCTTACAGGTGACAACTTCACAAACAAGCATTTCTAAGTGTAGAAAAGCTCTTATAGGGGCAGTCTCAACAGTCAGCCACTTCTTAAAGTTCTCTTTTGCCATTTATAGTAGATTCTCAGCTATATGGATGAGTCTGTGTGTGTGTGTTTTTTTTAATCTGCATGACTGGGGCCAGCGCTGTGGCATAGTGAGTAAAGCTGCCACCTGCAGTGCCAGCACCCCATGCGGGCGCCGGTTCAAGTCCTAGCTGCTCCACTACCAGTCCAGCTCTCTGCTATGGCCTGGGAAAGTAGTGGAGGATGGCCCAAATGCTTGGGCCCCTGTACCCACATGGGGGACCCAGAGGAGGCTCTTGGCTCCTGGCTTCAGATCGGCACAGCTCCAGCCATTGCAGCCAACTGGGAGGTGCGCCAGTGGATGGAAGACCTTCTCTCTCTTTCTCTGCCTCTCCTCTATCTGTGTAACTCTGACTTTCATATAAGTAAAAAAAACCTGCATGATTTTTAAACATATAAAATACACCAGGTCTACCATCACCTCTGCTGTATAAATGTCATTGTCTATGCAAATAAATGTCAACTTCTAAGGCTAGCTTAAGGAAATTGAAAGATGGTGTTCCTTTAGTAGCCAGAAGATAAACCTCCAGGTAGATTTTGTTCTTGTTGTTTGTTGTTTTGTTTTTTAGTATTGGCAGGGAGTGATTAACTTGTAACTAGCTGCTCTGGTATGGTGAGAGCATCAGATGACACTGGCTACCTTGCATCCAGCTGGATTCCAGTATTGTTCAGATAGCCCTTCTAGGTGTGGGCTTCAATGAAGGACATCTCTGTTTGCATCCTTAAAATTGCTTTTCTGCTCAGTGTCCATATTGACCAGTATGGACCACTAAAGTCCAATGATTGAAGGTTTAATAGTACAAGTGTAGAAGGGTGTTGACATAAAAACTGGAAAATCATTGTACCCATGTAGAATGCTGCTTTACCATGTTGAAATCTTGGACAAGTAAATGACCTGTAATCCAGGATGCAAAATCTAGCTTTTGTAATTGACTGAGTCTTATTCTCCTTTAGCTATATTCCACATGCACTAAGAGAGAACGGGAGAAAACTGCAGTTCCACAAATGAATATGGGCTTGCTATAGAGATAGCACAAAAGAGGATCAGGGCTGAGTATCACATCGTTGTCATAGCACTCTACTTAGCACTTAATCTCATCACAGTACTTTCCTTCACAACCTTCCTCCCTTCTGAATAACTCAGATGCTTAACTATAGTCTGCCATCGTCATTTTTATCTGCAGCAAGCACAGAGTCTGTGTATCAACTGCCATGCAAATGGAAGGAACGCACCCTAGGGTGCTGTTGTGGATGTGCCGATTTGAGAAGCTGCACATCACGTCTCTTCACCCATTCTGTCTTCCTTTCCAGGGTTCAGCAGATTCCTACACGAGCAGGCCGTCCGACTCCGATGTCTCTTTGGAAGAGGACAGGGAAGCGATTCGGCAGGAGAGAGAACAGCAAGCAGCAATCCAGCTGGAGAGGGCAAAGGTGACTGTCTCACTGTCTCCCCCTCTGTGGTCAGACGTGGCGTGTCACTGCCCTGCACAGATCTCTGGAGTAATCCTTTTATGGTCATCCTAACTTAGCTCCAGATCACAGGGCTCTCTGCTCCATTCACCCCCAGGAGAGGTCAGTGACACCCTCAGGGGCTTATTTCCTGAGAACCATCACCCTTTTGTGTTTGGTTTGGAGGCGAATCATTGGTCACCTCCCAACTTACTTGTGTGGTTGAAGCTTGTCGTGCCCAGTGCTGGCACAGGGCCTCCTCAGGCACCAGCTGGTCCCACCTGTTCTCAGCTTTTCTTGCCCATTCCCTCACCTTTATCATGGGCCACACGTGTGCTCTTGCTCTCTGGCTCTCCCTGTTGGCTTTGAGAAGTGCAGGAAAGATGAGGAATAAAGTCTTGGTTGAAAGAGACCTTCAGATATTCCACAGGGAGTGGCCCCTAGGAGTATGTGCACCCAAAGGCAGCAGCAAGGAACAGATTGAATAGTTGAGTGGCAGAAGCAGAACAGTCAATGGAGTTCTTCCATTCTGCCTTCCCAGCATTATTTTTTTTTAGCACTGACCCCTTTTGTCAAATGGAATTTTGTGCACAATAGCAAGCTATAAGACAGGGGTCATGGCCAACCTCTTCTCCTTGCCCTCCAAAGCAGACTCCGTAGGCATTTTATATAGTCTTTCTGATTTTTAGAGGGAAAACTGAACCCCAGGTAAAGTGAATTCCTTCCCTTTTCTATTTTTATAATGGAGTCTTTGTAAGAGAGATGAGAGGAGAATGGTGGAGGTAGAAGAGGTGTCTGCCTCTGCTTTGACACCCACAGCATCTGTGCTCTGTCGGTGGATGGGGTTTCTCGGCAGCACCCTGAGAAGGGCATCAGTGAGATGCTAAGTCGGTCCTGTCTCCACTGTCGCTCCCCACCCACACGGCTCAGCGCAAATAAATGTGCCAGGTTCAGAGCCGCCCAAAGTTGCAGAAGCTCACATTTCCCGTGTCGCTGATTTTTGTTTTAAAGTTTTCTTTCCGAGTCTGTTTTCTGGCCATGGTGGTCACTCTGCTGTCGGTGGCTGCATCATCAGCTTAGGCTGCTGGTTGGTTTGGTCCGTACCTGGCCAGTGGTACCAGCTCAAGGGCATTTTGCTGGGAAGAATTTGTACAAAAAGAGTCTCAGCACCAGCTTTTGTGAGCTAGGGAGACAATGCTGGGTGAAGAGCCCCTGCCCGTCTGGTTGAACCCTGACTGGTGCTTCCTTTCTCTGGTGGGACAAAGCATGCCACTGCATAGGATCCCCTAGGTCTTCAGATTTGAGGTTATTTCAAAAATACTCATCTTCCCGCCCCTCCCTTACCCCTCTCTTAAAGGTCTAGTACACATTTCCTGTAGCCCAAGGCAGGATTCCCTTTGAACTAAGCATAGCTCTTCAGACTAGCGAACAAAGCCGATTGTCCCCACGCTTCCCTGCTCATCCTCCCCAGTACTTTAGGGCACCGTTCTTTAAATATTGGAAAGTGCCACAGGAGAGGACAAATGGCTGCACCCATGGGACAGAATCATCGTCAGAGGCATCCCTGCAGATTTCTTTATATCATCTGGGAATCTGAAACCCGCTGGCAATCCCTCTTTGGAACGTGATTTCCCTTAGCGCCTGGTGCTGTCAGTCATCTCAGTGTATGTCTCGGTGTGAAAAATGCTGCTCTCTCTGCTTCCCTCCCTCACCCCTTGTTCTGTGGCCCCGACCCCAGTCCAAGCCTGTGGCGTTTGCTGTGAAGACGAACGTGAGCTACTGTGGCGCCCTGGACGAGGATGTGCCTGTTCCAAGCACGGCCATCTCTTTTGACGCCAAGGACTTTCTCCACATTAAAGAGGTAAATGGAAATGTAGGACATGTGCATACCTTCACCTGTGAAAAGTCCAGAGCCAGGAGGCAGCTCAGAGCAGAGCCAACCAGGGAGGAGACCTGGTGCAGGGCCTCATTTAACTTCCTGGGCCTTCTGCAGCCATTCATTCTCGCTGAGATAAAAAAAAAAAAAAAAAACCTATCTTTATCTTTATTAATTAGTTGATTAATTTTTATTGAAATACAGAAAAATAGAGAGATTTTGCATTTGCTGATTCCTTCCCTAAGTGCCCACAGCAGCCCAGGCTGGCCCAGGCCAAAGCCAGGAGCCCAAAACTTAGTCTGGGTCTTCCATGTAAGTGACAAGGACCCAAGTACTTGAGTCATCACTTGCTGCCTTCCAAGGGGCCCATAAGAAGGAAGCTGGAATCAGGAATGGAGCCAGGACTCTAACCCAGGCATGTCAGTGTGGGTTGTGGGTGTCCTCGGTGGCATCTCAACCACTGTGCCAAAAGCCCAGTCCTCGGTGAAATTTGGAGGCCTGAGAGCCTTGCTTGTACTGTCACTCACAACACTGAATCACAGTCAGCCTTTGAAATCCTAGAAGGGATTGAGGGCAGATTTGTGGTCCCATGGTCCCCTTTTAATCACCTTGTGTGGTTGCACAGCTGTACAACCCTAGATGCAATTTAGGGAAACACAAGTTTGGTGCCATGGCAGAAAGGACAAAGGATGTTGTAGTTAAAGACGCTGGGCTATGGTCCTGTGAACCATGACCTTAGAACCAACACTAGAATGTCTGATCATTGACCAAAAGCGTTAAAGCTAGGAAAAGGACTGAGGGAGCTAGCGCTGTGGCGTAGCAGGTCAAGCTGCCGTCTATAGCACCGGCATCCCTTGTGGATGCTGGTTCCAGCCCCAGCTGCTCCACTTCTGATCCAGCTCCCTGCTAATGTGTCTGGGAAAAGAGCAGAAGATGGCCCAAGTCCTTGGGCCCTTGAATCCATATGGGAGACCTGGAAGAAGGTCTTGGCTCCTGGCTTTGGCCTGGCCCAGCCATTGTGGCCATTGTGGCCATTTGGGGAGTGAAACAGCAGAAGGAAAACACACACTCTCTCTCTCTTCCTCTCTCTTTCCTGTCTCTCTGTAACTCTGCCTTTAAGATAAACAAATAAATCTTTAAAAAGAAAAGAAAAGGACTGAGGACTCTGGGAAACAAAGCATAAAGATTGAAGCAAGAAAAGGAGGACTTGAGGCCTTGAACCTTGAAAGGTAGACTTGTAGTGACAGCAGGAGGTTTGTTGTTCTCAACCTGGGAGTCATGAAATTCTACCTCATTTGAGACCTAGTGCTGGCCATGGAGGAGCCAACATCAGGATCATGGGCAGGAAGATCTGAGTCTGGTGGAAGAGATGCACAGTTTCCTCACAGGATGGCAAGTTCCATTACAGAAAGATTGAATTGATGTTGGGGGTGTCCAAAGAAAGCGGGAGGGGGCATCTGGATGGGGAGTAGGAAGATATAAGGAAGCTGCAAAATGCTGCGAAAGTGGCAAAAGCTGAGGGAACTCGGGCTATGGTAGGGGGTGACATCAGTGGAAGGAACAGCTGCAAGCCATGCATTGTGCCTGGAGGACAGTGGTACAAGTGGTTCAAGGGCCAGGTCAGAGAGGCAGGGATGCCTAGGGCCATGGAAAGAAACCGGGGCTTGGTCACCAGGCCGTGGTTTGGAGAGGAATCTGAGGTCCAGGATGGATGTGATCAGACTTGTATCCTAGAATGATAGCTCTGATGGGCAAGGAAGCATTGCCCAGGCTGCAGATGCACCCTAGGGGCAAGACGGTGGTTGCAGCAGAGAAGATGCGGAGAGGGGGCAGCTTGGAGAGAGAGGTAGGGGAAGAGTGGACAGGAATTAGGGATTGCACCTGGGTAGGGACTGGAGAAAGTGAAGTAGAAGAACATGAAGAATTGAAGCCAGTTTGTCTGGTTTGCCTGAAAGTTGGAGGGTATCATCCTCTATGAAAACGAGAGGGGAGCAGACCTATTGCAAGGGCAGATGTGGTTATGAACGTGCTTTCCAGGAGACTGTGCCATGGGTGTTGTGAACCGCCCCATGTAGGTGCTTGAAAAGCCCTTCGCTACATAATCTGGAAGCCAGCGGAGAGCAACTACGATTTGTTCTTACGTTCTGGGTTGAAGAGGAGAATGGGTTCTAGGCCGAGGAAGTAGCATGGAGCTGAGAGAGCATAAAACTGAGGGAGTGTTTTTAAAATTTAATTTACATTTTTGCTCTTTAAGATGGGGAAGATTTTACTGCATTTTCTATGCTTAACCCAGTAAAGTATATTAGGAATCAAGGGGACAGCTAGTAGAGTAAGAGATTGGAGGAGAGAAGGAAACCAACATTTGGAATGTAAGCACAAGAATCAGCCTGAAGCAGGAGGAAAGCGTTACCTTCCTTGAACCCACTTGTTTTCAACAGGGTTTCCCCATAGGGTTGTGGGGCATGCATGGGTGGATAGTCCCATTGGTTGGTTTCATTTTCTGTGCTAGGAGGAAGGGGTTAGAAATAAAATTTAAAGAGAGGAAAGCAGAAAGGAGGAAGAATGCAGTGAAATTTTAGATGAAGGTGCCCAAAAAGGGTGGTCAACATTCTTCACTGAACCCACCTGCATGGCAAATCTATGAACCAATATGGAAAAACCATTACCTATGAGGCTACGCATTCTACAGTCTGAATCAATAGGATGTAGGTGACTGGGTACATGGTCTGTGGCATAGGGGAGATGGAAGTCAAACAAAGTGGGATGAGGGAAGAAGGGAAGCCAGGAATTGTACTTGACATCTGTGGGTCATGCTTTCAAGGGGGTTGACCCTGACTGCATGGTAATCTAGGGAGGACAGGAAGTCAAAAGAGCTCCTCTTGTAATATGGAAGCCCTTGGAGCACCTGTGCATGCTGATGTTAAGAGAGAGCAGGAGAGATTGGTGGGAAAGGAGAGATGGGTAAAGGTAACATCTCTGAGCAGGCAGAAAGGGTGAAATCCAGACCTTGAGTGGAGAGACAGACCTTTGTTAGAAAAAGGAAACTTATCCATTGTCACGTGCAGGGAAAAGACAAGTGCAGGCACAGGCAGCTCAGAGCCTTGGTTGTAAGGAACTGAGGAAGCATCAACTTGATGGCTTCTCCTCTCGATAGTGGGTGAAGTGAGGATGTCCACATTTGCCTAGAAGAAAAAGACCCTCGACTTGAGATATATGACCTGGCATCTGAATGGTTAAGTTGATTCTGTCATGCCATTCCCATCAGAAACAACTACACAAACACTCATCATTTCCAAGCAGCAGCAGCCCTTTAAAAAGTGAGAGAAGTTCTCACGTATCACAGGCACACACACAGACATTCCTTCCTGGCTGTTTTTGTTGCTTTCCTGCATTCTGTGAGTATTCAGAATTTGTTCCATTGGTCACTTTTTGATTTATACGCTCCTTGATTTGCTCTCCAAGTTGGCAGTTTGAAGTACAGTATTGAGCTAGAAATCCCATGTGGAGCACTGCCCTATGTTTTCTGATTGTAATAGACCAGATGAGAAAACATCTTAAAGAGAGAAGTCTTAATCCTTTTAGGGAAATCAAAATGAAAAGAATTGGCACAACACTAAGGTGACCTTTGCAGAAAGCTGGCACAAGCTCCCAGCACATCGACGCAAATAAGCCCATTCTATATTCACGTTGCTGCCTTTTCACTCATCCATCACCCAGAAGACCATCTCTTACACACCAGGTAAAATACTTTCTCTGTAATGAAAAAGCTTAAATGCAGAGAAAATCTACATCTATGCTTGTCCCATAAGCCAAAATGATAAGCAAATTAAGCTCTTCAATTTATGCAGCGACTGTCTCCTCAGTAGCTCCAAGAACTTTCATTCACATTGAGTCAACTTCTGCTTTAGCTGTTTCCTGGAACTAAATCGAACCACTTGAGAAAGTTGCATTAACCATTTTGGAAAGCCCTTTGAGGTCACTTGGGTACCATTTAACAAGTTAGTGTTCCAGTGGACTAACTTGATTTCAGGAAATAACTTAAGCCCTAGGAAACTATGACTCATAGTCTGTTTTTCCCCTGCCACAGTAAAATTTAAATTCCAGACCTATACAGCAAAGATTTTAAAAGGGTTCCCTTGACTTTTCTTAATTCCAAAATAAACAAGCCTATTATTTCAGGCCTCTTATTCTAAATAAAGACAGGAAGATGGGGAAAACTAAGACCTACATTGTTCAAGATTTTATGTCAGGTCAACGCACATTTCTTTCAGTGCAGTCTAATACTGCATACCTTGCATGCCTTGTGTAGGAGCTGTGTGCATACTAGAGACCAAATGCCTACTTTTGAGTGTGAGGCTATTACTCAGAATTCCATATGAGATGATGAAGCCTTCCGTTCCCTCTTCACAATGTGTCAGTATCATTCATAGATATATACATGTAGATAGATAAGGTTCTACTTTTCTCTGAGCTTAAGCAAAACATATTGTATATTGTTATATTTTGAAACAATGTGTATATATGTGTGTGTGTATGATCAAAGAGAGAGTAAGTTATGCCCAACACTGATAAAGACAATAAAGGAAGTTTTTGGAATAAAGGAAGTTCTGAGAATAAGGGAATTTTGTGGAATCTTCTCTGAAAAGTTTAAACTATAGGAATCTGTTTTTCTACAAATGACCTAGCCGAAACCTTCCCTTAAGGCAGGTGACTTGGACTAAAATACTTTCTGCCCTGAGAGTTAGCAAATCTATAATTACAAATTCACGAATGCAATTTTGCTGACCTATTGAATTGACCACGTTGATGGAATCTCGGCCCACATTGGTTGAAGCCTTTGTGTGGACCTGTGTCCCAAATTTATGTATCATGGAAATTTATTTTTTTATTTAAAAAAAAATTTAATTTGAGAGGCAGAGAGAGAGAGAGAGAGCACTCCCATCCACTAGTTGACTTCCCAAATGCCCCCAACAGCCAGGGGCCAGGCTAAGGCTGAAGCCAGGAGCTAGAAACTCAATCCAGGTCTCCCACATGGGTGAAACTATCACTGCCACCTCCCAAGGTCTGCATTAGCAGGAAGCTGGAGTCAGGAACTGGAACCAGGAATCAAACCCAAGTGCTCCAATATGGGGACAGGCACCTTAACTGCTAGTCCAAATGTCTGCCCTGTGGTACTTTATTTAAATGGAATCCTGGGGTTCCTATTGATCTTCAAAACATTTGCCTGTCATTTCCAAAATTCCATTCAAGTGTGTATTCTGCTCAGACTTGGTAAGAGTAGAGGTCTTGGGGTCAGCATTGTGGCATAGCAGGTGAAGCCACCAGCATCCCGTATGGGTGCTCACTGAAGTCCTGGCTGCTCCAATTTTGACCCAGCTGCCTGCTATTTTTCCTGGAAAAGAAGCAGAAGATAACCTAAGTGCTTTGGCCCATGAACCCATGTGGGAGACCTGGAAGAAGTTCCTGGCTTTGGATTGGCCCAGCTCCAGCAGTTTGTGGTCGTTTGGGGTGTGAACCGGCGGATGGAAGACCCTTCTCTCTGTCTCTCCCTCTCTCTCTGTAACTCTGCCTTTCACATAAATAAATAAAATCTTAAAAAAAAAAAAAGAGTAGGTGTTTATCTCTTTAAATAGTAGTATAGACCTTAATTTGAAAACCTGTATTTGAAAGATTATGACTTTTTTCCAGTAGCAATAGACTATACATAGTTAATTATTACCTGAAAGCATTTGACAATCCACAAGTCATTGAATGTGTTTCATCTCAAGCAGATCTATCTTGCCTGCCAGAGTTCTGTTTACAGTGATGAAATATTTATTCGTGTTAAATCTATGCCTTAAGAATTGGCTAGGGCTTCTGATAAGGACCAAAGGGATCAACAGGTCAGACCTGATTCTGGTCCAGGGGTTGGCAGACAATAGTCTGCTGCTTGAGTCTGGCCTACCTTCGTTGGCAAGAAAAGTCTTATGGAAGCACAACCATGCTCATTTATTTTTGTTTGTCTGTGACTGCTTTCCCACTAGAACAGCAGATTCAAGAAATTGGAACAGAGCCCATGTGGCCTGTAAAACCTACAATATGTACTACCTAAACTTTTATAGAAAAAGTTTGCAGAACCCTGTTGTAGTCTTGGAAGTTCCACCCCTATATCAGAGTACTTTAAAAATTTCATGAAATAGAGCCCAGCACCATGGCTCACTAGGCTAATCCTCCGCCTGTGGCGCCAGCACCCCAGGTTCTAATCCCGGTTGGGGCGCCAGATTCTGTCCCGGTTGTTCCTCTTCCATTCCAGCTCTCTGCTATGGCCAGGGAAGGCAGTGGAAGTAGGCCCAAGTCCTTGGCCCTGCCCCCACTTGGGAGACCAGGAGGAAGCACCTGGCTCCTGGCTTCGGATCAGCACAGCACGCCAGCCGTAGCAGCCATTTCGGGGGTGAACCAACTGAAAAAGGAAGACCTTTCTCTCTGTCTCTCTCTCTCTCACTGTCTAACTCTGCCTGTCAAAAAAAAAAAAATAAAAATTCATGAAATAGAATTCAAAGATGTTTGTTTTGGTGCAGAAACATTTTGAAATCCATGCATACTTTTTTCATAATAGACATTTTCATAATATGTATTTGATGTGAAAATGTTTTGAAGCCCACCCATAGTCTTTCATAATATGCACTTACTAAGAGCTTTTGAGACCACTTGCATAATAGAATATATAATATAGTGCTTGTGTATGATATAGTATCATACAATGTTTTGTTCTTAGGTCTGCTAAAATTACTAAATGGAATGTGGAGATGAATGAATTTCTATTGATAGCAGTTTTATTTCTGCATTCCAGAAATACAACAACGATTGGTGGATAGGTAGGCTGGTGAAAGAGGGCTGTGAGATCGGCTTTATCCCAAGTCCACTCCGCTTGGAGAATATCCGGATTCAGCAAGAGCAAAAAAGAGGGCGTTTCCATGGAGGGTAAGCTTCCTTCTCTCCTATACATTTTTTTGGTAGAAAAATTAGGTAATATTTTCAGTTAAATGTAAACGCTTAAGAATAATTGTGTGTTAATTAAAGAGTTCAACCAATAGTATTAAGTAGAACAAAAAAAAATACTAAAAGGGATAAAGTATTAAGTTGTTCATCAACAGTCAGGACACGGGCTGATCAAGTCACTGTTTCTCATAGTGTCCCTTTCACTTCAACAGGTTTCCTTTTTGCTGCTTGGTTAGTTGTCACCAATCAGGGAGAACATATTTGTCCCTTTGGGACTGGCTTATTTCACTCAGCATGATGTTTTCCAGATTCCTCCATTTCATTGTAAATGACCGGACTTCATTGTTTTTGACTGCTGTATAGTATTCTATAGGGTACATGTCCCATAACTTCTTTATCCAGTCTACTGTTGATGGGCATTTAGGTTGATTCCAGGTCTTAGCTATTGTGAATTGAGCTGCAATAAACATTAAGGTGCAGACAGCTTTTTTGCTTGCCAATTTAATTTCCTTTGGGTAAATTCCAAGGAGTGGGATGGCTGGGTTGAATGGTAGGGTTATATTCAGGTTTCTGAGGAATCTCCAGACTGACGTCCATAGTGGCTTGACCAGTTTGCATTCCCACCAATAGTGGGTTAGTGTCCCTTTTTCCCCACATCCTCTCCAGCATCTGTTGTTGGTAGATTTCTGCATGTGAGCCATTCTAACCGGGGTGAGGTGAAACCTCATTGTGGTTTTGATTTGCATTTCCCTGATTGCTAGTGATCCTGAGCATTTTTTCATGTGCCTGTTGGCCATTTGGATTTCCTCTTTTGAAAAATGTCTATTGCAGTCCTTGGCCCATCTCTTAAGTGGGTTGTTTGTTTTGTTTTTTGTGGAGTTTCTTGATCTCTTTGTAGATTCTGGTTATTAACCCTTTATCTGTTGCATAGTTTGCAGATATTTTTTCCCATTCTGTCGGTTGCCTCTTCACTTTCCTGACTGTTTCTTTTGCAGTACAGAAACTTCTCAATTTGATGTAATCCCAATTGTTAATTTTGGCTTTGACTGCCTGTGCCTCTGAGGTCTTTTCCAAGAAGTCTTTGCCTGTGCCTATATCTTGCAGGGTTTCTCCAATGTTCTCTAATGATTTGATGGTGTCGGGTCTTAGATTTAGATCTTTAATCCATGTTGAGTGGATTTTTGTGTACAGTGTAAGGTAGGGGTCTTGTTTCATGCTTCTGCATGTGGAAATCCAGTTTTCCCAGCACCATTTATTGAATAGACTTCCCTTGCTCCAGGAATTGGTTGTAGATCCTTGATCAAATATAAATTGGCTGTAGATGTTTGGATTGATTTCTGGTGTTTCTATTCTGTTCCATTGGTCTATCCATCTGTTTCTGTACCAGTACCATGCTGTTTTGATAACAACTGCTCTGTAGTATGTCCTGAAATCTGGTATTGTGATGCCTCCGACTTTGTTTTTGTTGTACAAGATTGCTTTAGCTATTCGAGGTCTCCTGTGCCTCCATATGAATTTCAGCATTATTTTTCCCAGATCTGAGAAGAATGTCTTTGGTATTTTGAGAGGTATTGCATTGAATCTATAAATTGCTTTTGGGAGAATGGACATTTTGATGATATTGATTCTTCCAATCCATGAGCATGGAAGCTTTTTCCATTTTTTGGTATCCTCATCTATTTCTTTCTTTAATATTTTGTAATTCTCATTGTAGAGATCTTTAACGTCCTTGGTTAAGTTTATTCCAAGGTATTTGATTGTTTTGGTAGCTATTGTGAATGGGATTGATCTTAGAAGTTATTTCTCAACTATGGCATTGCCTGTGTATACAAAGGCTTTGATTTTTGCTCTACTTAATACTATTGGTTGAACTTAACACACAGTTATTCTTAGGTGTTTAAATTTAACTTAAAAGTGTTCCCTGTTAAATATGAGTGGGAATAAGAGAGGGAGGAGATGTACAGTTTGGTGCATGCTCAGTCAGACTTGCACCAAACAGGAGAGTTAGAAATGTGCCTGGGGATTCCAACTCAATCCCATCAAGGTGGCGTGTACCAATGCCATCTCACTAGTCAAAGTAATCAGTTTCAGTTCATAATTGATCATAACGAGAGGATTAAGAGTCAAAGGGATCACATAAACAAGACTAGTGTCTGCTAATATTAAGTGATAGAATTAAAAAGGAGAGAATGATCCAACATGGGAAGCAGGATATACAGTAGACTCATAGAATGGCAGATGTCCTAAACAGCACTATTCTGGCCTCAGAATCAGCCCTTAAGGCATGCGGATCTGGCTGAAGAGCGCATGAGAGTATGTTAGGCATGGAAAGCCAAGACACTCTGGCAAAAAAAAAAAAAAAAAAAAAAAAGAAAGAAAAGAAAAAAGAAAAAACCTAAAAAAAAAACCTAAATGAAAGATCTCTGTGAGATTCCAGCAGAAAGAACGGGCCATCAAAGAAGAAGGTACCTTTCTCTGAAGGGAGGAGAGAATTTCCACATTGATTTGGACTTGTTTAAATAAGATCCATGTCCAGGAACTCAAAAGGCTTCCATAGCCTTGGCAACTCATGACAAGAGCCTCGGGTGATTACTGATGCTATAAACAAGAGTGTCAATTGTTAAATCAACAACAGGAGTCACTGTGCACTTACTCCCCTTGTAGGATCTCTATCCTTAATGTGTTGTACTATGTGAATTAATGGTATAACTAGTACTCAAACAGTATTTTACACTTTGTGTTTCTGTGTGGGTGCAAACTGTTGAAATCTTTACTTAATATATACTAAATTGATCTTCTGTATATAGAGATCATTGAAAATGTATCTTGATGTGAATGGGATGGAGAGGGAGCGGGAGATGGGAGGGTTGCAGGTAGGAGGGAAGTTATGGGGGGGAAAAAGCCATTGTAATCCAAAAGCTGTACTTTGGAAATTTGTATTTATTAAATAAAAGTTAAAAAAATTAGGTAATGTTTTCAAGTCATTTACTAGATTAAAAATGAATGTTTTCAGAACACAATATTCTTTTCTGGGAATGGAGTATTGTATAGTTGTCAAAAAAGGATTTCAGACCGGCACCATGGCTCACTTGGCTAGTCCTCCACCTGCGGCGCCGGCACCCCGGGTTCTAGTCCCAGTTGGGGCGCCAGATTCTGTCCCAGTTGTTCCTCTTCCAGTCTAGCTCTCTGCTGTGGCCAGGGAGTGCAGTGGAGAATGGCCCAAGTCCTTGGGCCCTGCACCCGCATAGGAGACCAGGAGGAAGCACCTGGCTCCTGGCTCGGATTGGCGCAGCGCACTGGCCGCAGCGGCCATTTGGGGAGTGAACCAATGGAAGGAAGACCTTTCTCTCTGTCTCTCTCTCTCACTGTCTAACTCTGCCTGTCAAAAAAAAAAAAAAAGGTTTCAGAGAGTTCACTCTGTGCATTGCATGCTGAAGCCGGGCACCACTGGGATCTGTGTGAATTCTACCATGGAAACCGTTTCCTGTAGCCTCTGCACATCCTCTTTGGATGCCAGGCTTTTCTCTGTGAGCATCGCACAGGGCATCCTTTCTCAGTACAGCAAGCGGAAGCTGACCTGACCTGGCATTTCGGCTCTTCTTGGTCCACTTTTGAAGACTCTCTCAAGTGGGCACAGAATGGGTTGGGGTGGGTGGGTACCAATGCTAGTGGCACTGTCCATAGCCCAGATTTTTGTGGTATCTTCCATCTCCTGGTGTTGAGGTGAGGACACTGGGCAGTTTCAGATGATCCCAACTCTGGGAAACTAAGGAAGTAGCCACATAGATCTCAGAGTGCAGGTGGCCAGAGGTCTGAGGACGCAAGCAGAGCAGAGGAGATGTCCGTATCCTACTGAGAGATTATGTTGTAGCCGATACTGGAACACTGGTTTTCTTCATGTTATAATTTTTTTAAAAGCCCTGAAATAGAAGCATTTTTTTCTCTTGACCTTCAATGTCCATTTCCTGTTGGAACATTTTTTATTTAAAAGCTCTTCTTTTCTTTGGAACCCATTTTGCCCTTGTCATAACAGGAGCCTTGGGGCTGCTGTGTGGTGTAGTGCCTGTGGCGCAGGCATCCCATATTGGTGCCAACTCCTGTCCCAGCTGCTCCTCTTCCGATCCAGCTCTCTGCTGTGGCCTGAGAAAGCAGTAGAAGATGGCACCGCGCTGATCCAATGGCAGCAGCCAGGTACTTATCCTGGTCTCCCATGGGATGCAGGGCCCAAGCACTTGGGCCATCCTCCACTGCACTCCCTGGCCACAGCAGAGAGCTGGCCTGGAAGAGGGGCAACCGGGACAGAATCCAGCGCCCCAACCGGGACTAGAACCCGGTGTGCCGGTGCCGCAAGGTGGAGGATTAGCCTGTTGAGCCACAGCGCCGGCCGAGTTGTAGCTTCTGTGTCTGCAGATGGGGAAGCTGACTAAATGGCAAGGCTGCCATGGGAAATCCCATTTTCCTGACTGTAAGGTCATACTCTGTACTGAAAGGGAGGGATGCTTGGGAAATAGGAACGTGAGCTGCTAGGGCCTGAGTGTGCTCCAGAGAAGCTTCCAGAGCACATGTGAAGAGACTAATGCTGAGGCGCTTCCATTCCAGGTCACAAATGATACTATGTGTGACTTACTCCTTACAGTCAGTTCTTCTTTTTTTTTAAGATTTATTTTATTCATTTGAAAGACAGAGTTATAGAGAGAAGTAGAGTTAAAGAGAGAGGTCTTCCATCTGATGGTTCACTCCACAGATGGCCACAACGGCCGGAGCTGCACCAATCTGAAGCCAGGAGCCAGGAGCCTCTTCCTGGTCTTCCACGCAGGTGCAGGGGCCCAAGGACTTGGGCCATCTTCTACTGCTTTCCCAGGCCACAGCAGAGAGCTGGATTGTAAGTGGAGCAACTGGGACTAGAACCAGCGGCCATATGGAATGCCCGTGCTTCAGGCCAGGGCGTTAACCTGCTGCGCCACAGCGCCGGCCCCTACTGCCAGTTCTTAACTCTGACCCTCACATAATCCCTTTTAATAAGAAATGATTCCTCCAGTATTATTGCTTTTTTAAAAAAAAAAAATTTAATCTGCTTGAAAGGCAGAGTGACAGAAAGAGTGACCACCATCTACTTGGCGGTCACTTCCCAAATGACTGCAACAGCCAGGGCTGGGCTAGGCCAAAGCCTGGAAACAGGAACTTTATCTAGGACTCTCATGTGAGTGGCAGGGGCCCAAGCACTTGGGCTGTCCTCTTTTTTGGCTGCTGTCTCAAGTGCATTAGCAGGAAGCTAAGCCAGAGGCAGAGGAGCTGGCACACAAACTGGCACTCCAGTATAGGATGCGGGCACCTCAAATGGAGGCTTACCCTCATTGTGCCATAATGTTCACCCCTTGCTGATTGTTTTGAGCTGTGGCTGACATCTGACTTGTGTGCTAGCGACTGGTGTTAGGTTAGCAAGCAGTTCAGAACATTCCTATCAGTAATTCTTTTGCCTGGTTTCTATATTAAATCACTGGTAGAAATACTTTTGCAAAGTCTGTCTGGGTTCTCAAAAGTTACCCACTTTCTCTGAGAAATAGAAACATTTGGACAGATTCTTGAAGTTCTCTATAGCAGAATTTAGTGTGTTTTGAATTATTTAGTGGGCTGAATGCCAATGAAAGCGTTGTACTCTCCAGAAATGTTTGCACAGAGCGAATCTTACGTTCGTTTTCTGTATCCTAGGAAATCAAGTGGAAATTCTTCTTCAAGTCTGGGAGAAATGGTATCAGGGACATTTCGAGCAACTCCCACATCGACCGGTGAGGGTCTGTTACATTCCTTTCAATAGGATACATTCCTTCCTTAATATTTGAGTATGCATGCAAGCATTTTTGCTAATTTGGAAATGAGTTAAAGGCTTCCTTTACAAAGGTTCCTTTATTTCAAATTTCATTGCTCATTTCCTTCTTGTGGTAATTTGGTTTGATTTAAAGGTGAATAATAGCACTAGAAATTCAGATCTTTATAATTTTGAAAAATCTTATCTGCTCCCCAGAGGCCATAACTATCCATTGTATGAATTAGTCTGTGACAAGTTCGTTCTTCTACCCAAGAACCCAGCAGATTTTGAGATGATGAGGGCCACTAAGAAAGGGGAAAAACATTGTAGACTCAAGAAAATGCTCTATTTCAGTCTCCATGTGAAACTTTGAAAGTGTTAGTACAATGTGGGTGATGGAGACTTGGTGGGTTGAGGCTGGGAATGAGGTGGGGCTCAAGTGAGGTGATTTCTATTTTGACAGCAGACATCCCTGCCCTGGAATTAACAGTAATGAGGAGATGGTAGTATCTTCAGAAAATATGGACATATTCATGCAGGGATTTTCTTCCTCCACCTTCCCTGACCTCTCTGTAGGCTAATTTCATTCTTGCTCATAGTTGATGCTGCATTAGGGTAGCCCTCATATTAGCAATTCAGAATAGCAAGTCCAAAGGTCTCTGTGTATTGAAATTGGTTTTAGAACAGTTGTGAGGATCTGGATCCTTATTCATATGAATTTCTCCTGAACTCTAACACTCTGAGCCAATCTAGCTCCCTGGGTTGCTTCCTCCAACCCCCAATAAACTGAGCGTGCTCAGATAGCCACAAAAGCACTTTCATCAGACACTGAGTATATTTTGCTTTACTCCCATTGTAGGACATTGCAGCTTATTATTACTATAAACTGGAAAGAACAGAAGTAACCGATTATAAATTTATTTGAAATATAAAAGCAACATAGTAAGAAAACATATGTCCATTTCCTAGAAAATGGGCAAAAGCAACAAAAAAAGAATGCCTATTTATCATAGGGTCACCAAAGTTACATACCCCAAAATAGTCATTTTAGCCCACATTGTTACTATGCTGCTTTTTATCAATTTTTATCTGTTCAGCTTGTTCCCAGCCACACTGGGTGCTATGTTCTGCATGGAAAGAAGCCCATGGTTAACGGCTGGCCCAGAACCTCCAATGTCATTGTGAACTACTTTCCATCACCCCCTCCCCATGTGAAATCGGGACGTATGTTCATGTGTGCTTCAAAATCAGCACATCCAGAATGAAATAATAGAGACAGTGTCTGCAGAGTGGGTGATGGGGAAGTCAGCAAGATAATTACAGGGACAAATACATGCCTGCATCCATCTTTTAAGGTCATGTACTGTCACTTTCAGAGATGACATATTTTGATATGGCTCTCATTGTTGTCTTTTAGCAAAACAGAAGCAAAAAGTGGTAAGTTGTGTTTCCTTTTTAAATCTGTTAAGGTTTTATATATACGTGCCTGCGGTGCTCCATTTCAGTGACCCCAGTGGCTATGACATAAGGGATGCGCCTGCTTGGGGAACCCATGGTCATCACTGTCATTCACAGGGCGTTGGGAGTGTTGTGGCTGTGGAGGAGGGATGCTCAGCCTCAGCTTGTCCATGTGTTGAATCCTCTTTTTCAGACGGAGCACATTCCTCCTTATGATGTTGTGCCGTCGATGCGTCCTGTGGTGTTAGTGGGGCCGTCACTGAAAGGTTATGAGGTACAAATATCATCTGTTTCCCGTCAGTTCTTGGTTGAGAATCTTGGAGACAGGCACGGGGGTGCTTGCTGTTCCAGGGTCTGGTCACATTTAGGTACTGGTGGAAGCCAGCTCTCAGTATGGGAAGGTGGGTGGGACAATGTGGAGTTATGTGACCCTGTGCCCTTTCTTTCCTTCTCATCTTTTATGCATTACACTGTTTAGAAATATCTCCCCCAAATCATCGATACTGGAAAATTCTGATCAAATATTTGCTCACCATTAAATTCAAAGAAGAGGACTTTTCTCAACCATTCCTGTTATTATTAGAAATAATAGAATATGAACAGCACAAGGGAACATAGAAGCAATCTTCTTGCAAACCTAGACCCTCACAGCACCAACAGATCTCATCCTAATGGGTGCCCAAAACAATGGCAAATGTGTCTGCTTATTTATTTTACAGGGCATTTAGATACAAAACCACCAAAAACGTTGGTGAATTTTGGAGAATTAAATAATATCATGTAGCAAGGAAAAGAGTAAAGACTTAGATGTATGATGTTTCAGATGTTGCCATTTTGACCTTGCGCTAGTGTGATTAAAACAGGTGGACACTAAATCCGAAGTGGGCAGCCTCCAGGACACAGTTCCCACTGAGCTAATAAGCACTCAGTACACTTTGTTGAATGAATTAACAAATCTCCTTGGGGGCAGATCTAAGTATATTCTCTCCCTCCCCCCTGTCTTTCTCTCTCTCTCGCTCTCTCTCTCTTTCTCTGAGTTGGAAATATCAGAGAGAAGAGCAGAAGAGTAGTGTACAAAAGTCCAGCCCTGGGCATAGAGGACTCAGGAAAAGGTCAGATGATCTCAGCACTGGCTGTGGGGTTTCTAGGTGTTCCTCACTGGAGGCCAACACAACTCAGGTGCACCAAGGATGGCCAGCACCTGTGCACAAAGCCAGCCTGCAGTCTCCTGGTGGCAGTCCCCTCCCCTAATGTGGGAAGAGGTTGCAGGTTTGTCTTGGGTCTACTGAGCACTCTTGGTTCATTCCTCAGCACCCTTGGTTCTTGGAGAAGAACCAAGAGGATAAAATCAGCAGGTGGGTGTGGTTAAGTGTGAGAAGCTCCTTCCAGGACAGCTTTCCTATAGGAGGTTGTGCTAAGGTCTCTGTTCAGTCCTAGTGCCCCAACCCCTTCAACTGCTCTCACTGCTGACTGCTCTCTCTCTGTTTGCCTCGTTCCTTCCCCACTCTGCAAAGGTAACAGACATGATGCAGAAAGCCCTCTTTGATTTCCTGAAGCACAGGTTTGATGGGAGGTGAGACATACAGATGTTTCTTGTATTTCTTTTTCCTTTTCCTTTGACCAAACATGTATGATAAATCAGTTTGTGGATCCATGTTTTCAGCAGCAATTGCAGAAGTTCTCAAATTAAGTTAGCTCTGTATTTTGGGAAAGAATGCCAGGAAAGGGTTCTGAAAATAGGAAGCATGGTATTGAATCTTCAAGAGGAAAATAACATGAAATGTGTTTGTCTTTATTTTTCTTAATTACCACTGAATTCATACCAAACTGTTTTTTATAAAAAAATTAAAATATGTAATATTTATGATGACTATGGTGGCTCACTGGTCAAGCTGGGCAATATCATTTGGGAATTGTGGGTGTGTGTGTGTGTGTGTGTGTGTGGCCTATGAAGGTATAAAGTACTGAATTGCCTCAGAAGAAGATAAGAATTGTTTTCATCATAAGCCTCCCAAAGTGACTGTTCTTAGAGGAAATAATACCTATTAGGATGTTTAGCTCTGGTTTATTTTCTTAGAAATGATCTTGTAATTCTTGTAATCGTATTGGTCTATTTTGTATGTTTCCTACCATGACCTATCATTAGTATAGCTCAGCTTTGAATCATCAAGTAATTTTGTCATTTGAGTATTGCAAAAAATGTCTACAGAGAATTTCTGAGTTTTGGAAGAGACAAGAAAAAATTCCATATTAACTCAATACTAGGTACTAAGAGCTTTCATCATGCAGAATGTGCTCCATGTAAAAATCATACACAAAAAAAAATTTGGCACAAATGAGGAAAATTTAAATAGCCTATTTCAAGAAGTATGAGTAAATGTATGTAATTTGTCCCCTTAATGGGCTAAATAATAAAAAACTTACATATTTTGAAATAAATTTTAATAAGCCTAGTATTTTAAGAAAAAAGCAAATATGATAATACACAAAGTACAAATTATCTGTTTGTCAAAAGAAAAGCCTGTTGGATATTGTTTTAAAATATTCATTTATTGTAGGACTATATACGAAGAAAATAAACTAAGATTTAATTACAATAACTGAGATTTTAAGAAATTAATGTTTTTGGCCGGCGCCATGGCTCAATAGGCTAATCCTCCACCCGTGGCGCTGGCACACTGGGTTCTAGTCCCGGTCGGGACACTGGATTCTGTCCTGGTTGCTCCTCTTCCAGTCCAGCTCTCTGCTTTGGCCCGGGAGGGCAGTGGAGGATGGCCCAGGTTCTTGGGCCCTGCACCTGCATGGGAGACCAGGAGGAAGCACCTGGCTCCTGGCTTCGGATCGGAAAGAGGAAGACCTTTCTCTCTGTCTCCCTCTCTCTCCCTGTCTAACTCTGCCTGTCAAAAAAAAAAAAAAAAAAAGAAAGAAAGAAATTAATGTTTTCCTGCTATTATATGAATTTCTAAGTACATTAATGTAGGCCAGCCTACTTTAGTAGATGGACCCCAAAATGTGTTATTATATAAACACAGTGGATGCTTTTTTTAAAAAAATTATTTATTTATTTGAAAGTCAGAGTTATACAGAGGGAGGAGAGGCAGAGAGAGAAGTCTTCCATCCGCTGGTTCACTCCTCAGTTGGCTGCAACAGTCGGTGCTGCACCGATCCGAAGGCAGGAGCCAGGAGCTTCTTCCAGGTCTTGCACATGGGTGCAGGGGCCCAAGGACTTGGGCCATCTTCTACTGCTTTCCCAGGCCATAGCAAAGAGCTGGATCGGAAATGGAGCAGCTGGGACTCAAACTGGTGTCCATATGGGTTTACCCACTATGCCACAGCACTGGCCCCAGTGGATGCTTTTTTTATTCATATACCCATGTCAGATGGGTGATCCTGGCTGGGAGGAAGGATAAAGTAAGGGGAGGGGAAAACTGTAGAGAAAATTTGTCATTTTGAAGGCTTTTCCCGGGAGTGATCTCTCCGGTCAGCTGGTCCAGGCAAGGAGCATGAAGGACCTGGGGTAGCACACATGATTTCTCACATATCATTGGATAGAGCTTGGTTGTATGGCCATACCTAGTAGCAAAGAGGCTGAGAAATATGGTCTGGCTGTACGCCCAGAAGGAAGAAGAAATAGAGTTTGTTGAACCAGTTACACTCTCTTTCCTGCCAGTCATGTCGTGGGCATAAAGGCTTGATAAGAAAGTCATGTTTATCCCCTCCCACTGTTTTTAAAAGAAGACAGGCAGAGAGTGAAGTAGTTTCCGAGAAAACAAGTGAAAGGCACTGAATACTGAATTTGGAAGAAAAGGTAATCTTTCATTTTAAGCTTCCTTTTCCAACAGCCACAATCAGATAAACAACCTACTTCTGTTTGACAACTTTTGACTTTTGGGAATTCCTTGAAAGACACCACAGAGAAAGAGCTGCACTATGGCTTTTTAACTTAATAGCCTTGGTCTTGGTCCTGCCCCTTGATGTTCCGAGACCTGGGCCTCACCCTCATACAGCTCTGCGTGGATTGAATGCTGCCAGCATTCTGTTCTTCCTGAGCTGTGCTAGGAGTCACTTGGGTTTAACCTGTGATGCCTCCTACCCAAGACAGTGCTGAACAGTCCTTCCTCTGGCCCCACAGTAGCCCTCAGTGTGAACGAATTCTGTAACACTACCTAGGTTTGTGTTAGAGTGTTTTGGTCCCCACATAACACACCTATGAACAACAGTGGTATTAAAGTTTTGAAAAACAGGACTATGGAAAAGAAGAAATGATTTCAGATGATTTAGGAAAAAGAGTGACTTGATTATTGCTTTCAAGAACAAAGAATCTGATGTCTGCTTCAATCCTGAAGCCCATAAAGAGGAAATTCATTTCATTCTAACGGAGAATTATCTTGAATCAAGCAGAATTGTCTGCATCCATTATTGTATACACACTACCGAAATTGGCTTAGTAGGGATAGAATTAAAATGTCAATGCCAAGTGTTCATGCAGTCTGATGACATGGCAGAGACTCTGGAGGAAGAATCCAGCAGCAGCAGAAAGTAATACTGTAGCTGGAGACACTCAGCCCTGAAGAGGGCTTATGTACAGCACAGCTGGAGAAAGTAAAGATGGGGAGGGCGGGGAGGGACAGTGGACTTGCTTTCAAGAAATTGATAAGGAAGAAGTTTGCTGATAGCTTCACGTGGACTCTGACACGTCCTGTTTGGGAAATATCAGTGCATTTTGAGCCATAACAATCTGCTGTGTTGTTTTACCAGTTAATGAATGGAGAGAAAACTCTTTAACTGAAACCAGCCAAAAGAACAATTCCATAGAAGGCTTTAGCACAATAAACTGCATTAACAAGATGTTCTAAAGGGCACCTTTTCAGTGTCTCAATGGCTGTGAATGCAGTAATTTGGACAAATAGTAGGAAGTCCTACTATTTTTCAGAAACAGCAGAGAGAGATCATTGGTGAAAAGGCTTTCTTCTTCAATACTGCTTTGCAGATCTTGGTTACAAAATCATCCAAAATATTGGATTAAAATACAACATTTATCTGTAATAGAATCATAAACATGAGGGTTTTTTGACACTGTAGAAGTGATTTGACTCCTTTTAGAGCTAGTTATTATACAGTTTTATTGATGTTGCAATTGTGGGCCCTATTTGTAATACATGTAAGAAAAATGAAAAATATAATACTAAATAGTTCTTGAGGACCTTCTATGTATGTGAATACTACATATATATGTATACATCATATACAACATATATGATGATTTCTGAATCTAGACCATAAACTAGACCTACAAGTTGCTGCCATGGCGCCAGCTTGGCAAGGAAACAATGGGCATAGAGGTGTTCTCTTCATTTCATTCCGCAGCATTCATGGGGGATCATCCAGTCCAATGAAGTCTGTTTAGCTGATTGAATCTGGCCGTTGATAGGTTGAACAGCAAGCAGTCAAACCAGTTACAGTTGGTTGACCTATGTCAATCATTTCAAATCCCCCCCCCCAAAAAAAAATGGTACTTAGGATTTTTGATAACTATCAGATCAGCCTTATGGCATTTATGAGATACTATGTGACTTACATGATCATGACCAAAAATCTTAAATGAACACCATGTAACATATACAGATAGAATCTTAAGCTAAATGAAGCTTCTAGTCAAGGAACGTATAAACAAAATCAAAGGATTTGAGAAAGAATGTAAAAGAAAAGAAGCTAAGAATACAACTTAGAGCAACTCAGAGATAGTTATTTATTTGTAAAAATGAAATGGGAATGGTTGATGTTATCACAAAGCAGCCAAGTCATGTAAGGATGAAAGCAATCTGTAAATATAATCAAGTAGAAAAAGAACAACAGTGATTTCTGTCTCATAATCAATATCATTCTTCTATAATTTCCTCTAAGATTCTCTATTCAAATGCAGACTCATCAGTGGACACTCAAATGCTAGAGATAATTAATTGACCACTTTTATCCCAAATGTGAATATTTAAATCAGGTTTTGATTATAAATGACCCATCCTCACAGTGTATAGAAATTTCACAGAAAATGTGAGAGTTTTTGAGGATAATTTATAATAAGATGTCTTCAAATTATTTGCCTTGTATACATTGTACATGTGCCTGTAAACATAAGACACCAAGAAAAATTATTTAAGAAGGAACTTTTAGATATTACCTTGTTTGCTCCTAATGACAGTTCAATGAGATAGCTATGGCATATCTACTGTTGCCATTTTGTTGATTAAGATACAGAGACTCAAAAGATGGCATGACAGGCCCATGATCAAACAACCACCAAGAGGACTTTCATCCCAATTCTCCTAGCAAGGTGTTATTCTGTACTTTGGAACATAAGCAGAGAGTTAGATGGGAATAGGAGCAGCCAGGACTCAAACTGGCATCCATGTGGGATGCCGACACCGCAGGCAGAGGCTTAGCCTGCTGCACCACAGCATCAGCCATGTTCCCCATTTCATATGCATGTATTTTTTAATAGATAACTTGAATTAATCAATTAACTTTTATTTTTATTGGTACATAAAATAAAAACATCTTTTTTCCCACACCTTCTAATTTTTGGAACATAAGGAACATTCTTTTCTGTATTTTTTTTAACATTTTGGTTGTATTTGAAAATGGGGTCGTAAAAGCACTCAGAAAAATAAGTGTGTGCATCTCTGGATAATCTCTTCAAATTTTAAGAACCTAGAGTCACTATTTGGCTTGTATAGAACTAGAAAATTAGATTTTCACTTAAGCAGAATAGAATCTTCAGACTCTCCAAAAATCATTATTCTACAAAGTTGAATTTTGTCCCTAAGCCAACAGATTTGTCTCCAGTTACGTGTTTGGATTGCTGTGGAACATTTGTATGTTTTTACCCAGCAGTTCCATTCTCAAACAAGAAACCCAGAAATACAAAAATAAACACACAAAGCCTGTTCTGTAAAGAAAAAGAGCTGCCCGTAAGATTTCATGTTCAGAATTGCAGTGGTCAGCTGCATGGTGGAGATTTCATGTGGGGGTCCTGTGACCTCAGCCTGATCTACAGCCTCACCATCTCTCAGATGAGACCAAGTTGGACCACACACTCGTGCTTGATGCTGTCTGGAGATTCAGGGTTGTAAGAGAATTGAGGGTCACGTGACCAGGCCCTACCCTGGTGCTCAGGAGCTTCATTTAAACCTTCTTAGCCTATTAACAAACCAGTCGAACGTCCCCTCTTTGCCTCAGTTTCCTTCTTGGTAAAACAAAGTGATTGTTAACTCCAGTGTTTGCCTATGTCTTTTAGCAGTTGAACAACTTTTTACAATGAACTCTTATGTAAGCCTCAGTGTAGCAAACGGAAATGTAGAAATGCCTGCCTAGGCTCGTGGGTGGTGAAGCTGGAGACCTGCCATCTTGGCCTCCCGGTAATATGCAGAAAGCTCTCTGAGGTGTTTCTGCAGAGCACAGTTTGAAAATAGATCGGATAATTATCAGGGCCTAACAATTCTTAAAAAGTTTAAAAAATTAAAAATTCCCTGACAGCCAGCAGTTTATAAATACAATGACACAGGCAAGAATGCTTCGCTATAAAATGACAGCAGAGCTTCCGCATGGCGTGTTGCTTTGCAGAAGTGATTTCTAATAATCTGTGACAAAGCGTGTTTTAAATTCTCCCCAAGGCTTCAGGTCGCTAAAGCCAAATAAGGAGTCTCCTGACAGTGCCGAAAATGTCCCCAAACATGTATGAAGTGTGCAATTCAGCGATTGTTCATGATCTACCTTCTTCCCTGCTCCAGCCTCCAAGGGAGTTGGAGAATGGGGGAGAATGCGTGCACTAACAGTGTAAAAGAAAAGGGTTCTGCTTTCCTTCTGGTATCTCTTCCAAGCTGTGAAGGAAAGAATGGCCCGTGGTGGCTCTAACTGGCTGGCAGAGGCAAATTTTGAATTCTACAGGTAGATACTAATTGCAAGTTGAGCAATCCCAGCTTAAAATAAAGAGCTGAATTGATTGGTCCCAGATTAAGGACTTCACAATTTTAAGTTCTGGGTGTTCTAATTTGATAAATCATTCACAAAATAGACCTGTCTCTCCGTTCGTTTGCAATGCCTTTGCTTTACTCTTCTCTTGAGTGACTGCAGGACACATTCTTACTAAGATCCTGGCACAATACTCTCATTGCGCTCAACTATAGTATCTTATGCCTGCCATATGCATTCAGTCATATGCAAATGTGCTGAAGAATCCTGTGCCTGCAGAAAAGAAACCACACTTTTCACATTCTTCCAACTGAAGCATCCCTTTGGGCCTCTGGAGAAATTCTTCTTATGTCATAAATTAACTATGGAGCACAGAGAATGCAGCTTACCCACCAACTGATAGATTGTCTTTGCTGAACACAATGAAGAGGGTTTCCTCCCTTTGACCAGCAGCATTTAAATGCTGGGCAGAGCATTTGTAGTTCCTGGAGCAGATCAACTGTGAGCTGTGGGGAAATTGTATTTCCATTCCTTGAACAGCATGGTTGAATCTTGTTTTGATTTTCCGCTGGTTTGATGGGCACTGTAAAGGCAAGTCTTAATGGAGGAAGAGCATTTTTTAGTGGAGTACTCTTTCTGTTGTTGTTGCTAAATAGCTCAATCTTTCCTCCAGTCTGCTCTGCTAGTATTTTAATGCTAGCCAAAGCCTGTTTAAAAACTTGTGGCCAATGATTATTTATACTGTGGTTCCTCTGTAGTATGTACAGTGGTTATTAAGAACTGTAGCTATAAATCACTTGGAGAGCCCTGTCACATTTTTTTACTGGCTTGTTCTGTTCTGTGTTCCTGTTCATAGGATATCAATAACAAGAGTGACAGCTGACATTTCTCTTGCTAAGAGGTCTGTCCTAAATAATCCAAGCAAGAGAGCAATAATTGAACGTTCGAACACCCGGTCCAGCTTAGGTAAGCTGCTTGAATGTGGTACTTCTCCAGGCTGTGTTCTCAGTCCAGGATGACACATGGTGTATTTATGAATGTGTTTTCTGATTTGCTCCCCATTCTGAATGAGGAAGCTGTGATTGACTGAAGAGAATGCTAGCTATGGGCACGAGGGGAGGAGTGTCCTGCAGCAACCAGAGCCTGTTCTGTCAGCTCCAGTCAATTAGCTAATTAGTAGTCTGGTGAGAAGAATCCCCAATGGGCTCTTCTGGTCTGTTACTGCCTAACCATGTGAAACCACTCATCTCCACTTTGCCTAAGCTTCTCAATGAGGCTAATAATATCTGTCATACCTGAGTCACAGCTGACATGAAAGGAAATGAGATGTTCAGCCTTCTCATATCTTAGAAGAGCTACATACAAGTGTTCTTAGTATTGCTTCTGCTGCCAGCTGATACTACACAGATTAATCACATCTTTACAAGGAAATGGCAGTCAACACGAATAACAGGTAGAGATCTTCAACATGTCTTTTCTGGGGTATCAATCAGAAAATACCTTAGGAGTTACCATGATGGAAAATAATAAAACACCATTGGTGGACAGGGCTGTTAAAGATGGAGTCACCACCGATAGGGTGGTGAATGTTCCTGGTCTCCACGATTGCCCAGTAACGTCATACACACAAAATTTCCTAGGATTCTCTTCTGCATTCACATTCAGAGAAGAGTTTAACTAGGAAACATAGGGCTCTTCTATGCTATCACCTCTTTGTAAACTACTGAAATGAGTTTTATAGATGATATGAAGCTAAAAAAGTTAAAGAGTGTCCAAGATAGAGTGCATGCCCTAATATCGCATCAAGAATCCACTGAAGGCTATGCCTTGACCCTGAGCCAGGGATTGTACAAATTGAAGAAAAGATAGAGTAGCATCTGCATTCCTCTTGTAGGACTGGCACAGGGTCATTGATAATAATGTTTATTGTATGGCTTTGTGAAAGAATGTGAAACATACCAAATGAATAGTAAGGGGGAAAAACCCAGAGGTCAGTGTTTCCTTTTTCACTCCTGTATTTAGAGCCTTCCACATGCAAAGGAAAACATTCTTAAAGGCATAGTATTTTGACATTGAGGTGACAATGGCAGTGTTGGTGGTGAACCATATTAAGTAACTGACTGAAGTCAAACAAATGTCACTGGTGACCAGGGTGTTTAGATAGGTTGAAGATTTCTCAACCCGGCATCCATCCTATGTTCTGTCCTCCACCCTCCTTCTGTCTCCTCACAGTATCTTTGACTTTTAACCATTCCTTCCTCTCATGTCTGATGAGAGGCAACATGACACTGCAAATCATAAGCTTGGTTGACTGACTCCTTCAACCATCTGCTCAGGAAAAGATTTCGCGGGTATTCTCTGAAGACAGTCTTCATAATCTAGTCACCTGCAGAGTGAGGTGGTGGAGCTAGTATAAATATTCAGGAAGAAACGAAGTAGATCTCAGTTCAGTGACTTTCGTCTTTACTCTATTGTCATATATCCACAACCACTGCAGCTAATTTAATGTAAATCTATTATGTGTGACCTATTTATATCCATTTAGCTTGCTAATACAAGTTTGTAGATTCCTTCATCAAATGTTTATTGAATATTATGTGCCATGCATTATGGTAGATTCAGGAAATGATGACATAACTAAGCCAGAGTATCTTACCCCTGGGAAAAGAGAAGGGAGGAACAGGTGGTTAAAATACTCTGTAATAATTAAATTACAAAAAGCTAGGAAATGTAAAAAAGGAATGGGGGGTAAGAGGCATGTGAGGAGATTTCACAGAAGTTAGACTTGAGCTTGTTCTTTGAAGTAGATAAGACTATACAAAGACATTAGCACATAAAAAATTAGGGAGGTTGTGAAACAAGTGGATTTGTGCATAGCATGTTTAGGAGAGGGAAATGGGATGTAATTTAAGAGTAATGGGAGAAGAGATTAAAAAAGTAGCTTAGGCCAATGTGTTAGTGCTCTAGTGTAGTGTGCCTTGCCAAAGAGATCTGCAAATAGATTCCATGAAGTGTTTATTTTTCGAGACATTAGTAGTCCTTACATTCAAAGTGTTTTCTATGGTCAAATAAATTTGGAAATGATGAATTAAACAGTTGGCAGTTCCTTCACTGCAGGACTTCCAAGAGCCTTTAAGATACAAGAGGTCACTTGTCCAGTTTCTTAAAACTGGTATCTTGAAATTCCAAGAGGAACTATTTGAGTATGCAGTATATCCCTTTTTAAAACCCCCTTCTTCCCATAAGAGATTGCTGTTCAACGGTACCCACTTGGGAAAATGATGCTTTGGACCTTAGGGAAACCTTGAGGTTCTTTACGCATGGAAGAAATATGAACAGACTTGAGTATAAGGAAGATCGCTGATCCAAGAGTTCCTGGAGAGAGGTGGCCCTCAGCAATAATAGTCAGGTTTTAGAAGCATTCACTGAGGCCTCCAGCATTGCAGTCCACGACTGCCCAGAGCTCCATTTACCTGGAGGAGGAGTATGGGGAAACATCCATGGGAACCCCCCCTGGGAATTAATTTAGCCAGCCAACCAAGATTGTTTGCTTTGGTTGAAAGTTGTTTCCTTAAGAAAATTAGTTGTGTAGGTAAATATGCCCTTCTGTTCCTCACACCTGTAATTTATTTATTGCATTCTATGTATATATTATCCAGATGTTAGGCCCACCCCAGTATGTGGTATGGCCCTCCGCAGCTTCCTTGCTCTGCCTGATCACCTCCCTGCTTATGCCAGAGTGCCCATTGCTTAAGGGATCAGGTTGGTTAAGCAGTAGGTGTGCCTGCCCTCTGCTCCCATCAGAAGCCCCACTTACCCTCATTGCCTGTGTGGAGGAAATGAGGCCCAGGTGTTTCTGAGTCATTTACAGAGACCTACAGTAGCTTGAGGGTTTGCTGTACCAGGGCAGTACAGTTTGTGTCACTGCCTTTTTGCTGATTCAGAAAATACTGTAATCAGATGTAAAGCTTAAAACAGTAGAGACTTGTTCTGGTTTAGCCCTGGCCAGGAGCTTCTTTAAATCAGTGACAGTTTATTGAAAAGAGCAAGTGGACAACATATCCAACATCTGAGGCTGAATTTTACTACCATAAAAGTCAAATTTATGTTTCAAACTTCCTTCTTAAAAATTTTTTTTGTTTCAGATATGTGAGGGAAAAGAAGGGAAAATATGTTTATTACTGAAAAATAAGTATAATTTCAAAAAATGATGGCAGATACACCTAGTTGTCCAGTTTCTTTAAATTTATATCTTGAAATGTAGTCACCTTTCAATGCAATATAAAATATTTGAGGCCATTGGTATTAAATAATATGAAAAGTGATACATAAGTTGACTTCGGATTCATACTGTTTAATGCAGATCATGCATTAAACATCAGTGAATCTATGGAAAAGAATTGTATATTATTGTGCAAAGTCCAAGAAAATAGTCAAATGATAGTCTTTGATATTCATGATTTCACACACCTGTTCAATGCTTTTGATTAAGGAAGGATTTATTACTTAGTGATGTGAACTTGAATTTATATTGGATAAACACAGCACGAATTCTTTTCAATGAGAATATTCAGAGTAATGTTAACTTTTCCCCAGGCCATCTGTAAAATAATTTAAATTATGTAGCTTTGACTATTTTATGTACTTTGGACCAGATTACAGTATCAGTAGAGCATGCCTGTACCCACCAATAAATCAATCAATCAATCATCTCTCTAAAAAGTGAATCATTTAATTTGGACTTTGAGGATGACCCAATAAATCAGATTATTTTTATATAAATGTATATTTATGCATAAAATACTTTTTATTTTTCAGAAAGCTTGATTTTTTTATAATCTTTTCCTTAAAAAATGGCTGTGTTGCTTCAGATCCTTGAACTAGATTTTTCTTTTGACCAGACTTATATACATATTCAGTTCACTTGGCTGTTGAAGTCAACCAGATTTGTATATAGATGAATTACAGTATTTTAATGTAATTGGTTTTAATATTTTTTTAACAGTGAAAATAATTATGCCTTAGAACTAGTCCACTTTCTCTAATACTTAAGTTCAGCCAGACTTAGTAACATGCTAGTTTGAGGAAGAGACACAGTCAAAGCAAAATGTGAATGTGTGGATTGTTTTTTAAAAAAGGCAGATCCACAAAATTTTAATATATAACTTGTTTATAGAAATATTTCACTGTAATTTGTTTTCCAAGTCATGTTACTTTGAATTTCTGTTTCAGTCGTTTCTTCAAGATAGTTTTTGGCTTCTGTAGCTAAAAATGAAAGTTCTTTGGAACAAAACAGCAAAAACAAAAAAAAATCACCATAGCTAAATATAAATAATCACCTGATAGCTAAATATCAGGTGGAGATAAGAAGCAAATCAAGAAAACCATCTCAGTTTTTTGCATCAACTGGTTTTGTGCAAAACTCAACCTCTCTATCTTTAGAAAAGATCTTAAATTAAACAAGTCTGTGAACGTTCAAAATGTTTTTTATGCAGTGTAGACAAACATATCTGAAAGATGTACTATTTCTTCTTAATTTAAGTACTAACTAATGAAAATAACTAAGACCTGTTGTATATAATTTCTCCTTTTAGCGGAAGTACAAAGTGAAATTGAAAGAATCTTTGAGTTGGCAAGATCTTTGCAACTGGTTGTTCTTGATGCAGACACCATCAATCACCCAGCACAACTTATAAAGACTTCTTTAGCACCAATTATTGTTCATGTAAAAGTCTCATCTCCAAAGGTAATTAGTTTGTTTCTGTTTTTTTTAATGTTTTTTAATTTAAAAAATTTTTAAGTTTACTTGAGGTGCAGGGAGACAGAGTTTCCATCTGTTGGTTCACTTCTCAAATGCCCACAATTGCTGGTGCTGGGTGAGATTGACCCTGAGATCTGGGAGCTGGGAATTCAATCCAAGTTTCCCATGTTGGTGTTAGGAACCCAACCACTTGAGCACTTCCTGATGTCTCCCAGGGTGTGCATTAGCAAGATGTTGAAATCAGGAGCAGAACTGGAATATGAGCCAGGCACTTTGGAATTGGATGTAGGATTTACAACCAGCTTCCTATTCACTAGCCAAGTACCCAACCCAGATGTGCATTTCTTTTGAAATATTCTTTGTGTTTTTTTGTTGCTGGGCAAGGAGAACATCTTGTTGAGACACAGTTAGTGAGCACATTTTAAAATGCCATACTGTACCAATTCCAGGCATTCTGAGATAACAAGTAAAGAATAGTCTGTTCCTTCAAGAATCTGTGTATTTGAGTCCCAAACCAGAGAATTATACAAGTGTATGATAAGAACAAAAATTAAGAGAAGTGATGAAAGGATACTAACATTCCTTACAGATTCTGTCTTGGTAAATTATTTAGATGACAGTGATTCTTGTGTCACGTTTATTCTCTTTGGAGTTAAGAGAGTATGTAGTTCAAGAAAGATACCTAGGGGGCTGGCATTGTGGCAGAGCAGGGAAAGCTGATACCTATGACTCCAGCATCCCAAATGGGCACTGGTTCGATGCCTGGCTCCTCTACTTCCAATCCAGCTTCCTGCTAATGTGCGTGAGAAAGTAGTGGAGCATGGTCCAAGTGCTTGGGCCCCTGCACCCATGTGGGAGACCCAAAAGAAGCTCCTGGGTCCTGGCTTCAGACTGGCTAGCCCCAGCCATTGCAGCCATTTGGGGAGTGAACCAGAAGATGGAGGATCTCTCTCTTCTTTCTCTCTCTGCCTCCCACCCCAGTAACTGTGCCTTTCAACTAAATTTTATAAAGCATTTTTTTTTAATTTTTAAAAAGGTATCTAGGGATAAGCATTTGGTCTAGCAGTAAAGATCTGTATCCCACATCAGAGTGCCTAGATTCAATACCCAGCTCCAGCTCTTGACTTCTTAGCTTCCTGCTAATATAGATGGTAGGAAGCAGTAGTGATGGCTCAAGTCATTGGATTTGGGCCACCCACATTGGATACTTGGATTCAATTCCCAACTCTCAGCCCAACTCCAGCTGTTGTAGGCATTTGGTAGTAAACCAGCAGATGGGAGATATTATTCTCTGTCTCTCCCCCACCATGTATATGCCAAATAAATATTTCCTTATTTAAGAAATATTTGTTTATATTTTTACATAAAGTAAAATAACACTGTAAACAGTGATACTATTCCAGTGATGAAAATATTATAGACTCTGACATTTGTGCTTAAGTTGAGTTTTTGAGGAATACAGTTATTCCATGATTAAGCACATGGGAAATTTGCTATGTTATCTTTATGCCATTGGAGGAGATAAAAATAAAAGTGAGACAGCCCTAAATTTGTCTCTTTTGATTTGATTGTCCTTTTACTCTTCTAAAAAATTAATATGAAATAGATACCCTTGGGAAGTATTACCAGTTTTTAAGTGCTTCCTAGAGTGAATTTTAGTATATAAATGCAAATTCAACTCCCAATCAGAATGGTAGACTTCTCTCCTGAGTGGGAAATCCATCGTTAAAGAAGCTATGCCATTGTCTAAACCCCTGAGGTCCTTCTACCTTCCATCTCTGTATAGTGAACTTGAGAAAGCCAACCAAACCATGGCCTTCTGGGAATCAATAGAATGGCTGAAATTTCCTTGGCCTCCTGGAAATCGATTTTAATGAGGAGCTGCTGGGGCTCAGAGCACTCTTCACTGTAGTGGAAGAGAGGTCGACCCACCCACTGCCCCAGTTCCTCTTATGTCCCTATGGGCAGGAATAAGGACTCTCACAGACCTGTGTGCCCTCATGGAGCCTCATAGACAAACACTGTTTTGAAGGGAAGGACACTGAGCAAAAAAATCAATCAGCCAATCAATTAATTAAAGGAGCAGAGACTATCTTATCAAATGCAGTTACAGCAATGGCCAAAACATAGATATATCACTGATACATATATATATATATATATACACACATACATATATATATATATATATATATGGCAATATACCAAAGCAAATGTTTAACTTACATTTCCAATCATGAAATAGTCCAATAAATATAAAATTAAAGTGAACTGTATCATTAATTACCAATGACAGAAAGGATCAAATATATAAATGACTCCAGTATTTACCTGACATGGAAGTAATGAACCAACTTATTACTCAATGGAATAATACCCAAATATTACTCAACATAAATAACCTGGGACAAACCAGTTCCTCCACTTGTGAAGGGTTCACTTTGAAACTGAGATTTCAAAATCTAGGGTGGGAACTCATGATTCCTCCGAGCATTCACAAGGAGCTAGAACAGGATGAAATGCACTGTCACTGGCAGCCAGTATAGGAGGATGACATCATTTTAGAACGAATAGGTGTATGATTTCTCACGTTGTATTCCTTCTCTACTAATACCGAGGGCTAAGCAGGTGTAAAAAAAATATCCCTGTTTATTTGCTCTTTTTTTTTTAATCAACTCATTGCCAGTACCTAAGATTCATGTCTTCTTCTATTAGGTTTTACAGAGATTGATTAAGTCTAGAGGAAAATCCCAAAGTAAACACTTGAACGTTCAACTGGTGGCAGCTGATAAACTTGCACAATGCCCTCCTGTAAGTACAATCATCTTTTGTCTTAATCATTCTTGACGACTTAGAAGAGGGTGATTTTTTTTCATAGTAGCCTTGTCATTTTTCCTTCTAGAGTTTGGTCATGAGGATATGATGTCATAAATCTGAAATGTTTCTTAGAATAAACTTCTGCTGGCATGTGGGCTGTGTTCAGGCATCCAGAAATGGATGGTGTCTGCCTGGTGATAACAAATGAGCTAAAGAGTCTGTTGTCTGCTCTTTTTCTTGCCATCTTGATTATCTTGCAAGCACTCAGCAGACTACTTAGCACCTACCATCCAGTCCTGTGGACACATTAAGAAAAAAAAAATGAACAAAATAAAACATACTTTTCTGCCATGAAGTTCCAACAGGCAAAAAACATTCTGATCTGAAAGGGTAAGGACTGTTTGGATTGGAACTAAAGGAGCCTTGTGTTAATAACGTATGAAAGGATTAGGGTCGAAAGAGATGAAAAACTTTGCTATGGCAACTTTTCTCCCTAGTGCCATTGCCAGAAAACAGCAAAGACTGGCTGAGGGTACAAGACGATGACTGCTGTCATGGGCTGTGCTCCCCAGAGGCCAGTCAGTGTCTCCACCTGCTCAGCTAACTTACTATTTTTGTTCCTATGTCTCTCTAGAGGAAATTACTGTCTGTCTTACTCAACTGATTTTCTAGACTCTTTTATATACTTGTGTAAGGATCGTTGATGCTCTGGGGAAGCATGTAAATCCAATTCAAAGGTTTAGAGAAACAGTGCAGACTTTGTGTTCACATGTCTGGTGCAGTCAGATCTACACTAACTGGTTTTGTGATCATGGCTAAGTTCCTACCTCATGGAGTTGGGGCAGGGTTCAAGGAGGGACTGTGTGGCAAAGCTCTTTGACCAGTGCCTGTCACTTGAGAAACACTGACTAAACGTTCTCACAGTTATCTGAGGGACTTTGCTCTACTGTATGTCTGATCTGTTAGACTCTGTAAGGACTTTGCATCTCTGTTTCACAGTCGTATCTCAGTTCCCTATCACAACAGGCCCATCATTAGTATGTGTTGAGTGAATGAATGAATGAAAGGCTGTACAGGCAGTAAGAGTAGTAAGCTTTCAGTGGACCAATGTACTATATGCTTTTAGATAGATTGTCTGTAGCCCTCACAGTTTCCTAGTAAGATAGGCATGAAATGCCCCCCTTTTATAGTTGAACCAACTGAAAACTCAGGGGCTAAATGATTTCCCTTAGATCACATAAACAATTAGGATCAGATCTATATATACCCAGCTCCAAAGCCAATTTCTCCCCCTTATAACCTCATCCACCCATAACGTACACATCCCTGGTCATCTGTCCTGCAGATGGTTTTGGTAACTTGGAGTGGAGTGCTACATTAAGAAGTTTCACTGCACATTGCCTACTAACAAAGTCCACTTCCACAGTGGCATGTATGATTAAAGCACCGAGTGAACAGAAAAGAATGAGTTCCTGAGCCCCTGACCCTGCAGCGCCTCCCAGTTGAAAGAGAATGGTCTTTACTGTGCAGCTCCCAACAGTTAGAAACAATGCTATTTCCCAATTTTAGAGCAATATTGTGAAGGTAGCTAGATGGCCTGGGTCTTCTGAGAATCAGAAACCTAAATGGAATTACATGTGTAGATGTATTGGAGAAAATACCTTTTTCTTTTTTTTTTTTTATGAGAAGGAGTTTAGTGTGGGGAGCAATCCGGACTGGACTGAGTTACTGGAATTAAGACTTATTCTATGCATCTGCTCTCCCACAATATGGCGCTGGGAGAGAAGTAAACAGCTTCTGCACAGCTGCCTCCAGTTCAACTAATAAACTGTAGGACTTGCTCCTGATTGGAGGAGAGCAGCGTACTCGGCGTGTGGGCAGCCGAGTTGGGATTGGCGGAAGAGGACTATAAAGGAGGAGAGAGACGGCATGCACGGGGAACATCTATGGGGAACATCTAAGGGGAACATCTAGCTGAAGGAACACCTGTGCAGCCCCCAAGAAAGCCGGCCGGCGGTGTGCCGCTCCCCTGCGGAAGTGGGGAATGTGGCCAGGGGGAACTGCCCTTCCACGGAGGTGGAAGGGATAGTAGCCAACCCGGGAAGAACCAGCAGCAAACCCGGGGAGGGCCGAGCAGACGAAAGAACAGCGCAGGGTCCTGTGTCGTTCCTCCACGAAGAGGGGGAGCGACAGTTTAGTAACATTCATTCCTGATAATTAGTAGCAAAAATACCTCTGTTCTATTAAAATTGAGGTCTTTTAGCAGCTTAGAGAGTTAATCATTGAGTCATTTTACATCTAGTACAACTTGTTGAATCTGAAATAGTCCAGACCAAGAAAACCTAGGTGAACATTTAAATGCAGTATTACTGTGACCTACCTTAGCACTTGTCCCCAGGCCAGGAATCTCCAACAGCTCTATGCTCTAGGAAGGTACCTTTGTGCTATCATTATCTCAGCATGATAAATACTTCCTTGTCATATATAATTGGTGAGATAACCCAGAATTTTAAACAAACGGTTTGAACAAGTAAGGATACCTTGTACTCAACATTTTCTAAATACTATACACTTAATTAACATGTTCATTTGATACTGCATGAACCACATTTGTTATGCTAAGAAGTAATTGCACACTCTATTTTGGCACATGTGAAGAAATCTTCAGATTACAAAAACCAGTAGTAATTTTAAAATGAGTCTGCATTTGTCCTTGCTTTACTTCAAGGCTATAATTATAATTGTCATCCAAAGATTAGTGATCACTGTGTCATTTTAGTTCCTCTGGGAGAATTTGCAGCTTGCTTAATTGGCCACTGCGTCTCCCATCTGAAAAGTCAGCAAATTACACTGGCAGTGTCTCACGTTGCTGGGAACTTGAAGGGAAAGGAAAGTCTAAAGGAGCACGAAGAGAAGTTAACTCTTCAATCTTAGATTCAGGGACTTTGGAGCTAAAAGAGACCTTCAGGTGGACCTCATCTAGTGTTTCCTGGAGAATGTTCTTTGCAATATGAGTTCTATGTGATGTCAACAGGTACCACCATGTTCCTGAAGTTGTAATTATGAAATGTATGAAGTTTGTATTCCTTATATAAAAGGTTTTTGGGAAAAAAATAAAAAACTAAAAAATGTTAAAAAGCAGGTATTAAGAGGGAAAAGCATTGATACCAAAGGTGTTTAAGAAGACACAATACCAACAAAAGTAGCCTGGTTTCTTTACTGCAGAATGCTGAACGTGCTAACGGGTATTTTCCATCTCTAATGGGACACAGCATGTGATACTGCTTCTCTGCTTTTCCACAAAGCATGTTATGTGTCTAGTGTTTCATGGAACACTTCTAGGGAAAGACTGATCCAGGTAGATCTCATTTTACAAATAAGGGAGCTGAGACCAAGGGCAGAAAACTGGCCCTCCAGAGGCCCTGTGCTATTGCTAGACTCAGCCTAAGGTCTCTCCTAGTCTTGGGAGACTTCAGATAGTGAACAGCAACAGGTTAGTTATTATGTCATCTCCTGGAGAGACAGTCAGGGGTTTCATTAGTAAGGCTTTTTCTGGGAGAGGGATCAGTCAACTTCTTAAGGAAAAAGCCAGAAAGTAAGTACTTTGGGCTTTCTGGGCCATAGGGCCTCCTTTGCAAAACTACTCAACTCTACCTAGTAGCAGGAAGCAGCCACAGATGATATGTAAACAAATGTGAAGGACCATGTTTCAATCTTCATAGGAGCAGAAGGCAGGCCTGATTTTGCCAACAGATCAAAGGTGCCACCCTTGTTCTAGAAAAAAGTCACGTGTATCTATTACTGTGCAGTCAACTACACTAAAACTTAGTGGCTTCAAACCAGGCCTACTTTGGTAGTCAGCTGGCTGCTGACCTACTTTCTTGTCAAGAATGGCTGGAAGGCTGGGCCATGCCAGCTCCACTCCCTCTTCAGGTGGTCTCAGGATCTTTCCCCAGGACCAGCTTTTTATGTTTCGGCTCCCAGGGGTCCAAGAGCCAGTATTCCCGTCTCTGAAGGCATGGGTTTAGATACTAGCACAGCATCACTTCCATAGCATCCTGTTCAGCAAAACGGTCACTGAGGCTGCCCAGATGCAAGGAGAAGGGACATAACTCTCTGTGTTGATGCAAACAATACCAAAGAATTTATGGTAATTAAAAAAGATTTCTTTATTGTTTATTTTAAAGGCAGAGTCACACATACACAGAGATAGACAGAGAGATCTTTTTTAAAAAAAGATTTATTTATTTGAAAGAGTTACAGAGAGCGGTGGAGCCGGAGAAAGAGAGAGAGAGAGAGAGAGAGAGAGAGAGATCTTCTATCCACTGGTTCACTCCCCAAATGACAGCCAGATCTGAGCTGATCCGAAGCCATGAACCAGGATCTCCTTCCAGGTCTCCCACATGGCTGTAGGGGCCCAAAGACTTGGGCCATCTTCTACTGCTTTCCCAGGCCTTAGCAAGAGCTGGATTGGAAGTGGAGCAGCCAGGACTCGAATCAGCACCCATATGGGATGCTGGTGCTGCAGGCAAGGGCTTTAACCCACTGCACCACAGCGCTGGCCCCCAGAGAGATCTTTGCTATACTGATTCACTCCCCCAAATGACCACAGCAGTTTGGTCTGGGCCAGGCCAAAGCCAGGAGACAAGAACTCAATCCAGGTCTCCAAATGGGTGGCAGAGTCCCAAATACCTGGCTGTCTTCCACTGCCTTCCCAGGCATGTTAGTGAGAAGCAAGATTGTAGGCAGAACAACTGGAAGTCAAATCAGAAATCTAATATGGGATGCCAGCATCTGAAACAGCAGCATAACCCGCTGCACCACAGTGCCAGCACCTTTGTAGCCATTTTTAATCTCCTACAGACAGAAAAATGAGGTGGGAGGATGGGTCACTGGGCAGTTCTACTTTAGAAGAACAAAAAGTTTCCTCTCATTGCTCAGTCTGGAGTCATAGAGGATACAGATTAAAAAAAAAGGCCAATAGGACCAGGACC